CTGCTGCTGCTGCTGCTGCTGCTGCTGCTGTGGTCGCGTGAGGCGGCCCCGCGACGCTGTCGGGGGCCGAAGCCAAAACAGTCACACCGTAAATCCCTATTTTGAGGGTTTAGGGTTTAGGGTTTAGGGTCTAGGGTTCAGGGTTTTCAGCGCAGCAAAGAGAAGGCGAAGGGAAGCCTGAGGCAGCTGAGGTGGGGTTGTTGGTGGTGGCCCCCCTTGGGGCTGTCTCTAAACCCTAAACCCTAAACCCTCAACCCTAGGCCCCCAAACGGCTACAAACCCTAATTTAGTATAAAACTTGGATTTTTAACACTTTTTCTGGCATTTGAGCTTAGGGTTTAGGGTTTAGGGTCTAGGTTTTAGGGCGTTGTGCCTAGCTCGTCAGCACTCACTGCCGAAGGCTCAGTCTTCTTGCACGCGGGTTTAGGGTTTAGAGTTTAGGGTTTAGAGTTTAGAGTTTAGGGTTTAGGGCTTTTAATTAGCCTTTGCCTGTTTGCCTTTAGTTCTAAATAAAGAAGAGATGGATATGATGCACAGCAGCGGGCTTCCTGTCAGGGTTTAGGGTTTAGGGTTCAAAGGCTAGGGTTTAGGGTTTAAAGCTTAGGGTTTAGACTTCTCAGCCCCCAAACCCTAAACCCTAGCAGCTCTGCTGCAGCAGCTCCTCAGCGGCTGCAGCTCCGGGGCGGGAGTCAAATTTGGAAAAATTGGAATTCAGAAAACTGATGGGCAAAAGAAAAATAAAGAGAAAAAGAATTCAAGAAAAAGACTATTTAATCTCTCCAACTTATTTATAATATAAATAAAAATATATTCATCAATACATTTTAAATTAAAAGGTCCAAAAACATTCAAATAAAACTTTAGTCCGGGGCAACTTCAGGTGTACAGACAGCTCTCTGACTTGGGGTGTATGTGCAGCTTTCCGCTGCTGCTGCGGAAAGCTGCAGAAAGCGGAAAGAAAAAGAAATATTTTGGGGATTTTGAAATGAATTTGAAGAAAATAAAAAGTGATTATGCATTTAAAACCTTTTTTTCTGGTTTTTACTTCTTCAATTTTCGTCTTTGCCGCGGAGTTGTCGGCGCGTCAAGTGGTATGCTGCGAAGCTGAACTGCGATTCTCGTGGAGTTTCTTTTTATTCTTGTTATTTCTCAAGTGATTTAATTGCATGCAAAAGTCCCTTTTGCATTTAATTAATTTTCTTTTATTTTTCTTCTGCTGCTGCTGACAGCGCCGGCAGAAGCAGCTGCTGCTGCTGGCGCCAAGCCGCTTCATTCAGCGAATCGAACGCCAAGAAGAGGTGAGACAAAACAAACCCTAAACCCTAGACCCTAAACCCTAAACGCTAAACCCTAATCGGAAGACAAGAGGACTTGCTGCATACAAATCCCAAACTCTTGCGCGGTGTCTGTACAGAGGCATCTGCATGTTTAAAATTAATTTATTCCTTTTAATTTGAAAACACGAAAACAGATGTAACCAATAACATCTAAACCATAAACCCTAAACCCTAAACCCTAATTACGCCCTTCACGTTTGGCCTTGGCTGCAGGAGGCGGCGCCCTTCACTGAAGAGGACTTTGCAAAAGAAGAAGAAGAGTAAAGAAATAAAAAACACTTGTATTTTCGCAAACCCTAAACCCTAAACCCTAAACCCTCGCTGCAGAGCTCGAGAGGACTACCAATGGGCGACACAACACCGCACCGTGTCCGTCCACAACACCCAAACCCTAAACCCTAAACCCTAAACCCTAATTTTCAGGCCAGACGGCCCAGTGCCCAGCGCGTCTTTGGAAGAGAAGGAACGCCTAGATCCCCTGGCCATGCAGGTGACCCTAAAAGTCCCAAACCCTAAACCCTAAACCCTAACCTAAACCCTAAACCCTAACCTAAACCCTAAACCCTAAACCCTACTTTTAGGAGGCTCAGGACGCTAAAGAGTTCGCCAAACAGCAGCGACAAGCAGCAGCAGAGCTCCAGAAGGCCGAGAGTGAACTCGCCTCCATGCTAAACCCTAAACCCTAAACCCTAATACCCAAACCCTAAACCCTAAACGCTAGTTGACTGCACAACCCTTTGCAAGCGCCGGTTCCGCAGCGGGCACTTTTTCTCAACAGCCGTAATAGCGAGCTTCTGCAAACCCTAGACCCTAAACCCTAAACCCTAAACCCTCGCTCGACATTAGACGCACACGCAATGGGCCAAGAGGTTAAACCAAAAGAGCCGACCGTGTCTCGGCTGGCTGCGAGGTTTAGGGTTTAGGGTTTAGGGTTTAGTAATAAGTCCCTTCTCTGTCTTCTCTCTGCTGCTTCCAGCTGCTTCTGTTGTATCTGTCTCCATGCGGGGGCCCCCACCTGTGGCTGTCTTCATGAGGGGGCCCCCCGCGGGGGCCCCCCTGGGGGGCCCCCAGGGGGGCCCCCCGGGGTGCCCCCCGGGGCCCCCCCCTATCCCTAAACCCCTCATCTCGAGGCCTCCCATAATAGCTGTTGTCTCTTTCGGAGTGTCCCCAGTGTCTGTCCCCCTCAGCCTCTAGGCTTTGGGAGTAGGGGCCCCCCTGGGGGCCCCCCGGGGGCCCCCGGGGGGCCCCCGGGTACGGAGAGGGGCCCCCGTAATAGGGGGGCCTCTGTCGGATCTCTCCCCCGATTTTAGGTGTATAGACAGCTCGTGCTGCTCGCTCAATGTACTCGCGAGCGACTCTGTCTTTTCTGGGCTGTATGGCGGTGTCTACGTAGTGCTGCTGCTGCTGCTGCAGCAGCAGCTGCTGCTGCTGCTGCTGCGCCTCCAGCAGCTCCCGCTGCCGCCGCCGTGCTGCTGCCTCCGCCATCAGCCGCTGCTTCTCCCGCGCATACTCCGCCACGTGTTGCCGCCGCTGCAGGCCCGCAGAGGGTTTAGGGTTTAGGGTTTAGGGTTTGGGGTTTAGGGTTTAGGGTTTTGGTCCCGTGGGCACTCAGCGCAGGCAATTGGAAGCAGCAAATTGATTAGAGACAAACAAATGCATTAGTGGATATTTAAAAGAAACAATTTAAAAGCATTAAATAATTAAATAATTAAATAAAGATATTATTTACTTCCAAAGATATTATTCAATTTAGAATATACTATTCAATTTAAAAAATATAATTGAATTAAAGAATGAAACAATAAAGGAAACACAGGGGAATTTAGAGAATCAAGCAGCTCTTTAACAAGCAGCAGCAAGTGCTGCTGCAGCAGCAAAGCGACGGCACCCCCGCTGCTGCTGCTGCAGGCCATACCCCCCCAGCAGCAGCGGCAGCAGCAACTGCAGCAAAGCAGCAGCAGAGCTAAAAAACAGCAGCAGCAAGACCAACAGCAGCACCACAGCCGCAGCAGCACCAAAACAGCAGCAGCAGCAGCAGCAGCAGCTCACATTCCAGTATCCAGTTTCTTTCCACCAGGCCACCAAAGCCCTCAGCGAACTCTCTCTATGCCCCCAAAGCCTAAACCCTAAATTGTCGATATAAATTCCATCACAAATAAATAATTCTTTTCCCCCTTCTCCCCCTCTGGGGGGCACCACCACCAAATGAAACCTCAAAGGGTTTTCTCTCTTTGAAACCCTACTTCCGGGGCCCCTTGCGCCTTGGGGGCCCCCCCGGGG